TACACTCTTATTTATTCAGTTCGCAAATGAGCCCCCAGGGCATAGCAATCAAAAAGTGGTGCCACACACAAAACGGGGTCTCAGCTTGTCAGATCGTGCAAAGTTGATAACGCTGACAACACACAATGATGGGCGTCTACGGTATATAACACGTTCGAACGCAAAACGAACATTTCGAAGTCAGCCACACGAAGTGACCCGTCAGGCTGCAAAGCGCTACCATCAGAAAGGAACCTGGTAGATCTTGTAATGGCTTAGAAAGAGCGAATGCCTGATTCGGTCGAGAAATGGAATACTGAACTTTTTGCATGAGAACGGGGTTGGATTTGCCAGGTATCATATTCGAACACCTGCAAAGAATACACCGACAGACCTCTAACATCATCAATATATTGAATACATCCATATGAACTTGCTCCATAGTGTCTACCGCCGAGGATGATCAACCTAACGGAGGACCTAAACGGAAACAATGTGTTTTGTGCGTTCTCCGAGAGCCGGAAGTGTTGTTCGCAACCATGAAAGGCAACATCATCAGTGCGACCTCGAGGAACTCGCCAACTCACTCACATCCGCATCATTTCCAAACGGGAACAATGCCCATGGCGAAGTCACATTCTCAGGACTGCGAGATTTTCACCGGTGAGAAACAAGCTTACAAGAACAGTGGAGGAACGACGGAAGCGTGTACATCACACACTTCCATATCTGAGGCAACAACATTTACGGGATTGATCGATTCCGTCGTATTGCAATAATGTATATGAATGGGTGAGTGGATGAATCAAAAATGCGGTAAAAAGTAGACCGCACAAAAGGGAACGTATAAAAATAAATCAACGCAAGTAGAAATAGACGCGGCTTGTGGCAGACCATTCAGCCAAGCGATATGATGATGCATGCCAATATTCTCTGGGTGTGCGCGCGTGCACGCTTGGGAACACAAGAGTCAAGCACGGATAGAATGAGATGAACAGTGTATGTGAGAGAGAGATAACGCGGAATGTGTGACGCAATATGCCTCGACATCTGCGAACGGCATGCGCGGCTTGGTTTTGAGATAATATCAGTTAAATCTGAATTGTCCAAACGCGTGGTGGGGGGAACAAACAGAGAACCAACGGAAATGGAATTTCAGAGAGAGAGAGAGAGAGTTTGGGAACGTAGTGAGAAGTCGATAGAAATACATTTGGTAACCGGTAACTGAGAGCTGGAATGTTTTGGCACAAGAAAAAACATTACTTGTCGAGAATTTGTTTGATTCTGCAGCCAGGTAGGTGGGTTTTGTGTGGGCGTGAAGAATGAGAAGAAAAGTAGAAAGCCCGTGTGCGAAAATGTTGAAAAAAGATTTCCGGGGCACAATGTTGCGGATGCCTGTGGTATGCGAATAGTTACATGAAATAGTGATCCGGGCAGAAGTAAGGATATGCCGGTCGGAGAGTGAAAATCTACAGATAGTTACGAAGGACTTTTGGTCAGTGTATGGTCAAATGAAACTGGCGGATAATAAGTTCGGGCGGGAACAGATGGACGGGGAATAACACCCTCCGGGCCCATGTTCAGACCAGAAGCACTATTGGCTTGCTCATCCCGCCCAGAGAAGCCGGACTGAAGTTCACCGCGGATAGGTTCTAAGTGCCGGGGATTCAGTCCGGCACGACCGGGCTTCGGACGTCGAAATTCAATCTGTGCGTTATGAGATAGCGAGCAAGTATTATGTACATCCATTGTCTTGCGACGGCGATTGGGTGTGGCGGATCTGGTTGTGCTTGTATTGCGAAGTGCCGAAACCGACGAGACGGCCGAGGAGACCCGATAGAGGGTGGCAGAAGTGGTATTTGATTCACTGGGACAACGAACAACAAGGGAACATGTGATATGAAATTGGTCATAATAATAATAAATGAAAATTTGATCAAAACAGACACTAGATGAGTGAGCATTGGATCTGGGGCTAATTCAGTGGAATTTTTCAAATCGTTGAAATTGTGAAAAGCTCGGTCGAATTAGTAAGGTCATGTACAAAGATCGCTCAATGGAACCTGAAAAGACCCGAATGTAAACACAGAGATGGTGTGTGCGAAAAATAGACGCATATCCACTTGTGACTGCTGATATCTGACCAGGTTAGTTAATTAGTGCGCTAACAATTAGACACAATTCTAATGATGTTCTGAAAATGGATGGAAAATGAATGCTAGCACGGACGCATTATGCAAATTTTCCTTCAGAAATTCGCGTGACAAGTCTGCACACGTTTCTATGTTTCAACCCACCTTGTACACGTCGCAATGGTCCAGGTTTAAATTCTGTGAAAATGAATGAATGGTAGTGTAACAACTTTTATGAAAAGTAAACCAAACTATGATTTTCTTTCAGGGGTGGAATAGAGACGGGTTTCCGAAACCAAAGCTAGGGCTAGGCGGAGTGAACTTTCGGGTAACCAAAGCGCAGTACACAAGCAAGAGGGACGACGTGATAAAACCATAGACAAATGAGGATTAGTGTCCGATCAGGTCTATCTCAAGCCCTTAGGACTTTGTTCGATCGTTTGGA